GACCGGCTGGCCTCAACAAGACATTGAAAGCTGGGAAAGCTAAGATCAAGGTGCTGGCTGGTGGGTTTGTAGTGATGGCTCTCTTCCTGGTTTGTGTCCTCACATGATTGGGGTGCTGGAAAGAAAGAAAAGGAAGGAAGGAGGGAAGGAAGGAACGAAGGAAGGAAAACAAAGGAAGGAAGGGAGGGAGGAAGGAAGGAAGGAAGGAAGGAGAGATGGAGGGAGGACAAGAAGGAGGTAGATCTTTTTCTCTTATAAGGCCATAGACCTATCAGATTAGGTCCTCAGCCTTGTGACTTCATTTAACTTAATTACTTCCTAAAGACCTTACCTCCAGATACAATCATATTGGGGGGTTAGGGCTTCCACCTATGAATTTTGGGGAGGTGGGGAACACAATTCAGTCCAATAAAGTTTTATTTATTAAAACAGGAGGTAGGTTATATTTTGCCCAAGGACCAGTTATTTGCCAGCTGGTAGTCTAGAGGGAATCAAACACTAATCAGAAAGTAGACTAGGTGATCTGTCAACATATTTCTAGTTCAAAAGTTTTATGAATCTGTGCTGTTACGGTTAAAGACTCACCAAAAGATATATTTGCTATCATCACTTGACATCATTAAAACAAATGCTCCCCTATATAATTAAACCTCCTCCCTACTGTAAAAATCTTGAACACCAATAAGACATGTTTTTTGGGGAAATTGTTTGGATATGATTGGCATAACTTAGAGGTTAACTATATAGTCTCTATATAGACTCTCTATACAGACAGTTTCAGACTGTCCATATCCAAGCTCTGCAGCTTACTAGCTGTGTGATCTTGGGCAAGTTACTTAACTCCTCTGTGCTTCAGTTTTCTCATTTATAGAATGATTATAATAATAGAGTTTACCTTATAGCAGTGTTGTGATGCTTAAATAAGTTAATACGTGTTGAGAGCATAAAACAGTGCCTAGTTCGTAGGAAGTTCTGGGTCAATGTTCTCTATTATTATTTCCTGAAATAAGAGATAGTAAGGGAAGCCAGACGGAATACGATGGGGAGGTCATGTAGTTGTCAAAGATTTAGGGATATTTTAGAAAATCAATACATTCAGATAAGATTGTAGTGTGTGGTTCTGTTTAAAAACAATAAAGGTGCTGTAAAGGGAAAATTGAGAGACTTCATGTGTTCTTGGTAGGAGAAAAGTATCTTTAACAAATAAGCGTGGTTGTCTTGATATATTTTACTGTATCTTAGAAAAACTTGGAGGCTGTGGGTGTGTAAACTACAGAATTGGCTGGATCAGAACAAATTAATTCAGGGCTCATTGAGTAATGTTCCTAAGAATGAATCATTTAATAAGTAAAAATAGTTCTTAAGTCCAGGATTAGTTTTACTTTTGTGCACATCCAACCCATCTGTACTTTTGGCTGATATGAGATGCAGATGATATGTATGACAATCTTTACAATAGGTCTAGTGTGGTTGTACATTTGTAAAGAATGTCAGTTATAAAGTCTTTGGTCATTGATCAGCATACATGTTTTTTCTTCATTTGTGGCAGAGCCATGATTATCGAACCCTCCTCCTTATTTGTGGGAGAAGGGTCTCTAAGATATTTCTCAGCTGATAACCTTTTCCTGGCCCTTTTTCACAGAGGAAAACGGAAGCCCTTAAGCAGGAACTTCTTCAGTCTCTTGCCATAGATCATAGAAAGCTAATTGCATCTGTACCAGTCACATCCTCCCTTTCTGTGGCAGGAAGGAATGAAAACTTTCGTTGGTGGCTCTGACAGCCTGCCTATCCAGGCTTTTTGGGTACTTCATCCCTGGTGTCTCCTGTGTAACCTAAAAAATATGGGTCTGCTTTTCTACTTTGCTCTCACCCAAACCCTGCTTTGGCATACTGTCTTATTTTAAAATGCACAGATTCAATTCTGGAGACATTAAACAATGTGAATTTAATGGATGATAGAAGAAGGTGTTATATTGCACATAATATAACATGCTACTTCGAAACCTCCTGAAACATTCTAACCCATTCTCAGACTCCACTCCCTAAGTCTCATTCCTCAGGGCAGCTGTCTCATCTTTTCTCCCCATGACCTTCCTTTTCAGCCTTGCTACCTTTTCTTTTTCTTTTCCTCGTCTCCATTCCAAGATTTTCCAAGTGGCACTTTCTATCCCTTTTGCACAGATAGAAATTTCATGTCTCTCTGCTTCTTCCATTTTTATCCTGCTGTATCATTGTCATTTTTTAAAAAGATTTTTTTAAATGTTTTATTTATTTTGGAAAGAGAGAGAGACAGAGTGTGAGCGAGGGAAAGGCAGAGAGAGAGGGAGACACAGAATCTGAAGCAGGCTGCAGGCTCTGAGCTGTCAGCACAGAGCCGGACAGGGGGTTCAAACTCACAAACTGTGAAATCATGACCTGAGCTGAAGTCCTGCGCTTGACCGACTGAGCGACCCAGGCGCCCCTCATTGTAATTTTTTTTAAATGCAGATCTTATTGTGTTACCCTTTTTGATGAAAAATCTCCAGTGGGTCCTCATTGATCTAGGGTGAAGTTCCCAAACTCCTCACACGACCCAGCATGAGCTGGACCCTGCTTACTTCCTCAGTCACACTGATCTCCCTTACCAGTTTCATTATTGCTCAAGTTTTTGTTAATGATTGTTCTTCCTCACTCATGGCTCTTCACCCTTGCTTCTCATAGTGCCTAGAATACTTGTCATCTGCCTCTGAACTTGACATACTTCTGGGCTCTGCTACATACTGCTTTTTCACAAAGGCCTTCCCTCACCCTCTATAAGTTAGGTGACCTTTCTTCCTGTGAATGTTTTATCAGAATAACCTCATATTTCTCCCATCCTGGTATAATCTCACCATTGTACTTGTCTATATCCCATTAGACTCTTAGACATGAAGACATGTCTAAGACATGAAGTCTAAGACATGAAGACCCATTAGACATGAAGTCAGGGGCCATATTTATCCTGGCCACCATTTAATTCTCATCACTTAGCAGAGTACATGGCACATACAAATATTTCTTGATTAAATAACACTTAACCATTGAACAACATGGAGACTAGGGTGCTGACCCCCCTGCACCGTTGAAAATTCACGTGTAACTTTTTTTAAAAGTAATCCCTAAGCCCAATGTGGGGCTTGAACTCACAACACCGAGATCAAGAGTCACATGCTCTATTGATTGAGCCAGTCAGGAGCCCCAGTGACTCCCCCACAATTTTACTACCAATAGCCTAGTGTTGGCCAGAAGCCTTACCAATAACATAAAGAGTTGATTAAAACATATTTTGTATATGTATTATATACTGTACTCTTACAATAATGCCTAACTTTTTTTTGTATTTCTAAGCTATGTGGTTCAATTATGAGTTTTTTCAAATTGTCACAAATCTCAAAAACATTTTCCAATATATTTATTGAAAAAAATCCTCATATAAGTGGACCCATGCAGTTCAAACCAATGTTGTTCAAGGCTCAACTGTGTATCTCTGTTTTTTCACATTTGGTTAATTCTACTACATCTAAGTTTATACCTTATTATATGCCTTAAGAAACTCTGTATTTTTACTTTATAAAAAGGAGCAAACATGTATCAGTCTTAGAAAATTTATGTTATATTTTCATTTGTGACATTCTATTTATAAAGTTTTTTATGACTTATGATTGTAACATTTTTAGAGGTATCTATAAAATCTATAATTTTGGTTATTCTTCAAAATGAATGATGAAAAAAAACCAAAACTGAATGAATGAAGATTAAATGAGAATTTCCACTGAACTTTTTATCATGACAGCATCTGTGGAATGCTTACTAGTTTAGAAGCTGCTTTAGTATTTTCTTCAATGAATCCTAAGGAGTGCAGCAATAATGCTTAGCATATTATTTATATATATATTCATATATATATGTGTTATATATATGTATGTGTGTGTATATATATATATATATATATATA